GAAGTCCATGCTACTGAAAGCCCGATTTCAGGTGTTTGACCTGACCTTGACCCGACCTGTGACCTCAAAATTCAACTTTAAAGTACTCATCTGAAGCGTCTCGTCGCGCTCTTTCGTTTGCCGCCTCGTGCGTTTCGCTGCGCCTATTGGTTCTCGAGTTATCGGCTGGGGGCGTTTAACGCCCCCCCCCCCCCCCCCAGCAAACGGTGGGTGGCGAAATACCCCAGCAACTGCCGGGTTAAGCGCCGTGCAATTTATTTATTAGTTCAGACATAATTCCTGAGAAGTCGTCTATCCCTGTGGGGCTGTAGGTATTGGCAAATACGAGCTACGAGTCTGTGAAATATTAAATAAGTTTGATCAAATTGATCGTCTGTCAAATCTGGTCAAATCAATGTGCGCCAACCAGTTTTCTCAGTAATTCAGCTAGCAATTCTCGTGCTGTGTTCAAAAAGACGTTTACAGTGAGGGGCAAACTTAAGAAAAACGAACTATAATGGTTATTCCATGTGTCGTCGTAGCCGAGTGGTTAGTCTCGGTGTGGTAAGCGAAAGGTCGGTGAATCGATTCCTGCTCTGGCGGTTCTTTTCTCTTAAAAAGGAATCGGTCGTAGACACGCATTTTTGGCCCCTACGTTCGCACGCCAATATCGTACGCCCAATAAATCTATGACAAGTATTCCTCTTCTTTAATTTCCTTGCAACCAAAACTGTCTCAAATAGCCCCACACTATGGGGCTATTTGAGACAGGCTTCAATAAAAAATAGTTTTTTATGGCTGCTAGCTGAACCAAAACGGACCTATTTGAAAGCGGTTACAGAGGACTACGTTTTTGCAATTTACATGCTATAGGAAATATCAACCGTTTTGAAGGGAGAGGCCAAAAACTTGCCAAAAACGGTAAAATCCGTTTCCAATAGCCCCACTTTACGGTACCATGTTTGTCGGTATTGTGAATGTGACTGAAACAGACTCTTTCAGCAGCCAGGAAATAGCATCCAAGAACCTATTCAAATTCTTACATCGGCCCTTACACGCACCAGTCGCATATTCTGAAAGTAGTTCCCGTGCCCCTGGTGAAGTTGCCGGAACATCACCTTATAGTTTATGGTTTCGGAGATATGACCTGGTTTTTCAGGTCATGTCATGGCCCAAATGACCAATTCTCAACATCTTGCGTTGGCTATGGGCCTTGTGAGCTTTTGACACCCTGATTTCGGCCTTTTTTGCCAGTCTTACCTCCCACCTATCATCGAACATGTTGTTCGACGATGTACAGATGTCAAGGTCAGGGTCAAGGTCAACCTAGGTCATCTAAAATAATTGCGTTTTAGGCAAGCCGAATTTATTTTTCGTGAAGTTTTTTTATTGCATTTTTGGTAAAAGCTTCTCAGATCATGATTTCATGTAATATGGACACATAAACACTCGGTGCACACATCAGTATACACACAGACACACACAGGTGTGCTACTAGAAACGAAAATTGCTGTGTTTGTAAATAGATATTTGATTTAAGGGCAAAGAATGCCCGGATTTAAACTTCTAAAATTGTTTTGAACATAAAATATTTCAGTTTGAGGGATGTTAAGGCCTCAAAGAGTAGGTACTTTTCAGGTATCAAATAGGTTCCTCTGCGAAAGTTCCGTCGTGAAAACGGCTACAGACATACAAACATATATTATTGACCTTGACCTAACTTGACCTGAAATGACCTCAGCAGCAAAAATCTGGTCGGGTAGTGTGACAAAGAGGTTCTAGCTGGCTTGGCACCAGAAAACGGCACCGTCATCGGTATATGCTAAGCAGCGCACTTGATATCCAACGGTGACCCAAAACGGCAACATTTTTTAGTTTGACCTGACCAGGAAGGTCAATGACTGACCTGAGAAGGTAAAACTGGGTATCATTGGATTCGTCTCTTCCCAAAGAATCTTTTTTGGTCTTACCGCGAAGCTCTATCTCCAACAGGAACGAAATGGCGCGGGGGGTGGCAACCCCCCCCCCCCAATATGCGTTCTAAGATGGGAAAATGGCATGTGCGGGCGAGGGTTTATCTAGTAGAGATGACGGAGGAAAAGGCCTTAGTTTAACCCGCGCCCCACTGGAGTCTGCGTGTAACACGCCCTACTGGAGGAGCTCTTCATATCCCCCCTCCTAACTCCGAAACTACTGGGCCGATCGTCAAAATTCAAACGGTGTCTGATAGTCCCGGAAAAACTGTCGAACGAAGCCTAATTTCATTGACCTCGATGTCGCCGATGACATCACAGGTCAGGTCAAAACAAAAATTATTAGTATTTTGGCTTGTTCACATTTTGGGCTCTGGCCGCCGTCTTACACGTCAGATCTGGCTCATTTTTTGTTTACACACTCGTGAACAGATGCTTTATGTAGATACCCTGAGGGTACCAACCTTGTATTTTTATTTTCAGGTCAGGATCAGGTCATCACAGGTCACGGAAATATTATATCATGCGTCGGTCACGTGACACATGTTTTATGGTCAATTTAGGCCATATATTTCGAATCTGATGTCGTTTGTGGCATTCAAGGTTATTTTGAGTTGAATTTAGCTTAGGTCAGGTCACTTTCACTGCCGTGCAAAGGAAAAAAGGGTGAGGTAATTTTAATACATTTTTTGATATTTAGGTATATCAAATGAAAGCTCTTTTCGAGGCGAATTCAATGGTGTAGTTCATAAGCATTATTGAATAAAAATTTATGCCGAAAATCTAAATTTGAAGTTGGCATTAAGCCGTGAGTTGGAATGCCACACAAAATTGGGTTTTGGTCGTGTGGAAAAAAGCCGTGAAATCCCACCCTTTTTTCCATGATCTTGAGTGCTGGCAAGGCTGTGTAAACCAGGTAGAACGCTCCCGACGAAAAACTGAGGACAACAATGAATTTAGTAACCGCGACTCTGGGGACCAAACAAACTCAGGTTGCCATGGTAACGGGACAAATTTGGCATGAGTACGCATCTAATAACTCATTTTTCAACGAATTGTTTTAGAAAAAAGCAAAAAGACTTGTCGGACCACTACATTTCATAGAATGAATTGCAGTTTTCATAACCGACCAGAGTTTTTATCAGACTGGCCTTAATAATGTCAAAATCAAGTCCTAAACTTAGCGGCCCGTGCTGCTATACACGGAGAAAAATAATTACTCCCCCCGGGAATCACGATCCCCTATTTGGGAATCAACTGACACCCATGGTGTAATCCGATTCTGAAAAACGGTGGCCATACACCGTTTTTTTAGTGTAAATTGATCTCGGTCAGAATCACATACCCAAGGGTCATTTGACTCCCAAAATTTTGACTCCCATTTTAGGTGTCGTGTCAAAAGATCCTGCAAGGTGTCAGTGTAAAATGACACATCTAAGCGTTTTTGACGCTATCATGCGGAGTTTTTATATCCTATAGGTGTCATTTCACACAGTTGAGCGTTTTCGCAATCCACGACTCCCTTAATAGGTGTAATTTGATCCTCAGTGGTGTCATAATATTCCGTACAAATGACTTATTGAGTGTAATTTGACCCTGGGTAGTGGCATAATATTCCGGTGTCATTTGAGCCCCATTGGGTTCAAATGACACCGGAAATGTTATGGCACCACTGAGGGTCAAATTACACCTAATAAGCGAGTCACGGATTACGAAAACGCTCAACTGAGTGCAATGACACCCATAGGGTTCATGATAGCAGTATAGCGGCGGAACATCTTCAATTAAGGGGGGAACCGATAGATCCAGCTCTCAAATTTATCGAGAGATCCGTAGGGATCACAGATTCGAGTCTCATTTTTTGCTTGAGATCCTGTGAGATCATAGATCCTCACTTATTTTTTGTCAGCACAGAAATAAAAAAACACTTGTTGCAACGCATAACCGTTCTGTTTGAGTGATTTTATGTGCTCGCACGTCATAATCCATTATAGTTTTGTGGCACTTATTGACACAGAAACCCTTTAAAACATGGTTTCAAATGTTGTGCATGGTGGGATCCACTCAGATCATAGATCCATGTTCTTGATTTATCGTCAGATCGTATGAGATCATAGATCCAAGATGAGTTTTTCACGACGGATCCGATGGGATCATAGATTCTAACCTGTTACCTGCAGTTTGCTTCGAGATCCACTGAGATCATAGATCCATCGCTCGGATCCATGCACATGTTTGGTGCTAGCCATGGCTGGTCCGCTACGAAGATGAAATAGGCAATAGCCCCATCAGCAGGCTGCACTGTCAATTTGCGGACGAAGATTTGTGGAAAAATGCGAGACGAAGAAATGCGGAGACGAAGAAATGTGCGGACGAAGAAATGCGAGACGAAAAAATACGGAGACAAAGAAATGCGAGACGAAGAAATGCGAGACGAAGACATGCAAGACGAAGACATGCAAGACGAAGACATGCAAGACGAAGACATGCAAGACGAAGACATGCGAGGCGAAGAAATGCGAGACGAAGAAATGCGAGACGAAGAAATGCGAGACGAAGAAATGCGAAACGAAGAAATGCGAGACGAAGAAATGCGAGACAAAGAAATGCGCGGACGAAGAAATGCGGAGACGAAGAAATGCGAGACGAAGAAATGCGAGACGAAGAAATGCGAGACGAAGAAATGCAAGACGAAGAAAGGCGGAGACGAAGAAATGAGCGGACGAAGTTTTGCGGACGAAGAATTGCGCGACGAAGAAATGCCATGCAAAGATTTGTCCGGATACGCTGCGGTATCAATTGATTTTCGGTGACTCAGACTCCGACTCCAGTACCGGCTTCCAAAGTCGACTCCGACTCTGACTCCGGCCACAACTGTCAACTCCACCCAACTCTGACTCTGACTCTGTAACCCTGGTGCGAACCACAGCTCAGGTCCAGTGGTTTGAGTCAATGCCCGGCCAATCAGCAAGCTGCATTGTCGTGTGACGTCATTTGTGTTCTAGCCATGCCGGTCCGCCACGAAGATGAAATAGCTCGACCTTGCAGGAAAACCGTTAGGAAAGCCGTTGACTTCAGTTGCCGGAAGTGTGCCCACGTGGGTGCGTGTGGTGTGAGCGGGGAGAGGAACTTATTTGAATTAACGCGCTTGTAATGTCGCCAAACGTTGTTTAAAGTGTAGATTTACTTCAAGTGATAGTGCTTTAACGATAGACTTCAGATTTTATTTGTAGTTTGCTCAACATGCGTATTTAAATAACGAGGCGCCCTGCACTCAGCGAAATTTTGAAGTAGGACAAGATAGCAACGCCCCATGGAGACGGAGGTAAGTTTTTATGTCATTAAGCAGCAGAATAACTCTACCTAAGTAAGTAGCAATAATCACCGGTTGATGGAACATTGACATTGTTGAAATGTGAGTAATTCCTTACGGTGAATGGAGTCACGGACCCATGAGCCTTACGATAAGTTTTCATTAGATTTCGCCATACATTTCGTGCCCAAATGTTTTGGAATTTATTGTTGCATATAAAATAAAGAATGACATGCATGTATTGTTATTTGCGTCACGTGGTTAACAACTGCAATTATGACTCTGTTTGAGAGTGTATTTTGATCCCATAAGGTGTATGATTCCGAGAATCATTTGACAATATCTGGTATAAAGACTGATTGAAAAGAAGACGTCATCGTCAATAGATAAAATTGTAGCTGCAAGGGTGAAGACACATGTAAGCTACATTTAAAGTCTCGTTGCAGTCTGGCTAATCGTTCCTATAAGCTTCAGAAGCAGAACATACCCATGGGTATGTTGGTTAGTTGTACGGGGACCCGCAGTTGCTACTGTACAGCGACTCTGAGTAAATTGTCCCAGCACCCTCACAGGGAACAACGAAAAGCTGTCAGAGGGCACGCACAGAAAACCTCAGCTGCTCTTGTACACGGACCGACAGTCGATATCAATGTTATCGGTCGTTACTGGACAGGACAGACGGCTAGAGTTAGGGTTCGTGTACAGTAGCAACTGCGGGTCCCCGTACCATACTATTGGTCTCAAGATAAGGGCCCAGGCGACCTGTTTTTCTGATGCGATGAATATACCCTTTATACCAACGCCGCAGCTCGGTTCGAGTGCATCCCTCACCCCTGCACACAACCCAATCACCGCACTCGAATATTACCGGTATTTCTTATATAGGAGACCAATAGTACCGGTAATATTGATATTAGCTGATGTATGACGCTAACAGGAACAGGCTCTGAGCCGGTATAGAAAAACCATCCCAAGAGTCATTTGACACCGTTGAGGTGACACCTACGAGGGGTGTTTTTTGAAGCGTACCAAAAACGCGCAGTTTCCAGGAGTCCGAATACACCCGGAATCAGACACCCCCCGAGGTAATCTGACTCTGGTTGGGAGTGTATTTTATACCACATGTCGTCAAATGATTCCCGGAATCATACACCGTGTGGGATCAAAATACACCCTCAAAATCCGATTACTCCCTGAAGTGACACCTAAAAAGGGTGTTTTTTGAAGCATACCAAAAACGCGCAGTTTCCAGGAGTCAGATTACACCCGGAATCAGACACTTCCTAGAGTATTATGACTCTGATTTGGGGTGTATTTTTTATTCCATAAGGCGTATGATTCCGGGAATCATTTGACGCCGTACGTTATAAAAATACACCCTCAACCAGTGTCATAATACCCTAGAAAGTGTCTGATTCCGGGTGTAATCGGACTCCAGAAAACTGCGCGTTTTTGGTACGCTTCCAAAAACACCCCTTTTAGGTGTCATTATTTTTTTCAGTGTAGGTTACCTCTAACACTCTGGCCCCCAAAATCGTCACTGGCTTATCAGCCAATGAGCGTCGAGTATTGTCGTACGCTGATTGGTGGGATTACTGCAGTTGTTGTTTAGAATGGTTACGATGCTGACTAGTGGTGTCAATTTCAGAAAACGCATGTCCAATGCCCGTCCAATGTCCAATACTTACGTCGATTGTCCGTCCAAAAATGTCCAAGCCAGCCATTTGTCCAAAGATGTCCGACGCCTACGCAGTAGTTTACACTCAACACTGCTATTTAATTTGCTTTTAATGTACCATTACCAGCTGAAAAGTGTTAATCATATCGAAAACTGAGCTTTCTAATAGCCAGTCAATGTTAAACACCATTACTTTATAAAAATGTTGAGGTGTAGCAAGCGATTGTCCAAAGTTGTCCAAAGCCTGCTGTCATTGTCCAACCGAATTCCGAATTGGACATTGGACAAAATCGGAATTCCGAAGATTCAAGTTCCGATTGACACCACTAATGCTGACAGCGCTAGCGAAGGTGTCTCCACTTTTCGTAATGTTAAAAGCCCGGAGCGCACTAGTGGTGTCAATTTCAGAAAACGTATTTCCGAAGTCCGTCCAATGTCCAATGCGTACGTCGACTGTCCGTCCAACAATGTCCAAGCCAGCCATTTGTCCAAAGATGTCCGAGACCGACACCTACGCTACGCAATAGTTTACACTCAACACTGTTATTTAATTTGCTTTTCATGTACCGTTACCAGCTCAAAAGTGTTAATCATATTGAAAGCTGAGCTTTCTAACAGCCAATCAATGTTAAACACGATTACTTTTTTTAAATGTTGAGGTGTGGTAAGCGATTGTCCAAAGTTGTCCAAAGCCTGCTGCCATTGTCCAACCGAATTCCGAATTGGACATTGGACAAAATCGGAATTCCGAAGATTCAAGTTCCGATTGACACCACTAGAGCGCACCCCCCTGAGTGCTGGCGATGCAATGGAAAAAAGGGTGAGATAAAGCGTGCTCCGGGGCTGAGAGTGTCTGTGGTGAAGAGTATTTGGCGAGTTTTAATTGACTGACAGTTTTTAAGGGCATATTTGGATATTCAGACAATGAAATAGCACTACAGTTTGTGAGCACGATTGCACAAACATTTTTCATAATGTTAGGTCGCAAAAGCTTACTGACAATTAGCCCGCCAATTTAAAAACCCACCAAATCCTCCTTACACATCGCCGTACTACGCGTAGTAAACAGCATGCGCGGGCGGCTGGCAGACGTCTGGCGCGCTAATCAAACGTAAAGCGAAGCAATTCTCCCCGAGTTGGTGCCTTTATCCCATTCCCTGCCTTTTTACAAATATGGGTAAAAAACGCAAATCAATCTCATCCGCTGAGTGTGATAAAAAACGCAAGAAGATTTCGGAAGCGCCGACTGGCTCCGATTTCATCCGAAGGAGAGGAGTCGTACAGGTTCGAGTGATTTGGGAAGATAAGACCGCTGGTGAGTCACATTACTCGCCATTGAATGCACTGAAGTGTGAGGAAGAAATCGCTGTTGGGTCGCGGGTGCGAATGAGGCACGGAGGCCGGGAGTGGTTTGGAGCGGTGGCCAAGAGCTCCAAGACTCGCCAGAGCCTCGTGGAAGGTAAGGGACATTGACCCGATATGAAAGGCATGCCAAATCCTCAAATTTTAGCTGATATGGGTTACAGGAGTAGCCAATTCAATTGTGTAGAGCACCATGGAATCTATAAAATAATGCAGAGCTGCAGCGCCTTTGAGAAGGTTACGCGTGAAAAATGATATGTCGCTTATGCTTATGCTAATGACAAAATGGCAATGCGTAGTGGTTCAGGAGACTGACAAAAAAAAAATGTGTTCGGTGCAGAAATTCCGGATGATGATATGCCGCTGGCGATTGTACGTGAACGGCAAAGGTCATCTAATCCCGTGTCTGACAACCTCACCGATCCTGCCGGAAGCAGTTCCTGTCCCGTCCTTGATTCAGCAGCCCTGAGTCAGGTGAGAGAGCTAATTGTTCGTGACATTATCAACCTGTAAGCTGCATGGAGGCTCGCAGCAAAAGCGGTCAAAGATACTGATGTAAAATAGCATTGGAGATTTACCCATTAAAGCTTAATAAAGCGATAAATCGACGGTCGTCAAGTTAGATGTATGTAAGTGAATCCTAATCTACAATCTAAGATTCGGAATCAGGCGAGCCCCTACGATTTGGACCAAACTTGGTCAGTGGATAGTACGTAACGTCCTGATTACGATGCACCCAAAATTTAAGCTCGGCCCGCCATATTTACGAAGTTACGGATGTTTCAATTTCAAGGTCATTCGGTAGAGCCCCTACGATTTCCGTCAAAATTTGTGTACGGACACTCTAGGTGCTCCTCATTACGAATATCACAAAATTTAAGCTCGGCCCGCCATATTCACGAAGTTACGGATGTTTCAATTTCAAGGTCATTCGGGAGAGCCCCTACGATTTCCGTCAAAATTTGTGTACGGGCACTCTAGATGCTCCTCATTACGAATATTACAAAATTTAAGTTCGGCCCGCCATAATTTTTAAGTTACGGAGTCACAAAGTTACGGAATTTCAAGGTCATTGGGAGAGCCCCTCCGATTTTCGTCAAAATTTGTATGCGGATACATTACATGCTCCTCATTACGAATATCGTAAAAGCTAAGCTCGGCCCGCACTATTTCAAAAGTTACAGATGCTTGAATTTCAGTGAGTTTCAAACCTCAGTAACTTTTGAAATAGTGCGGGCCGAGCTTAGCTTTTACGATATTCGTAATGAGGAGCATGTAATGTGTCCGCATGCAAATTTTGACGAAAATCGGAGGGGCTCTCCCAATGACCTTGAAATTCCGTAACTTTGTGACTGCGTAACTTGAAAAATATGGCGGGCCGAGCTTAACTTTTATGATATTTGTAATGAGGAGGGTGTAATATGTCCGTATACCAATTTTGACGGAAATCGCAGGGGCTCGCCTAAATGACCTTGAAATTCAAACCTCCGTAACTTCGCAAATATGGCGGGCCGAGCTTAAATTTTGTGATATTCGTAATGAGGAGCATCTAGAGTATCCGTACACCAATTTTGACGGAAATCGTAGGGGCTCGCCCGAATGACCTTGAAATTCAAACATCCGTAACTTCGTAAATATGGCGGGCCGAGCTTAGATTTTGGGTGCATCGTAATCAGGACGTTACGTACTATCCACTGACCAAGTTTGGTCCAAATCGGAGGGGCTCGCCTGACTCCGAATCTTAGATTATAGATTAGGATTCACTTACATCTAGCTTGACGACCGTGATAAATCGCATCAAATTTTGATTCTTATGCTGTTCATTACATGAACACAATCTACGAGTAATATTCCACTAAGTGTTTGGGCATATTTTTGGCAACTCAAGACACTACGGCAGAAAAATAATAGCAAATTAAGACCCACTCCTTCAGTTGGTTATGGGAGTGTCGGATTTTTCGTTTCCTTCATA